TTTCTGTTAGATCACATTCAACAGCATGACAAAGGATCCAGTGGAAGATGTGTTCCTTACTAACCTGGAAATAGAGTTCCCAGAGTTCAAACATATTGCAGCTTCAATGAAAGGTGACTTGACAACACATTGGGTGTTTGCTATTGCTTTTCCTCAGATATTTTACACAGTACACCTGCAGGTTCAATCCATTGTGAGCTACTCTTTGTTAGTCACCAAATCTTAATCACAAATGTGGAAAGCTAAAAAATAAAAACTAAACCAGACTCCAGCTGCACGATCTTCTCTTTGTTCTTGTTTTTGACGTACCACAAACCCTGATCCGCTAATGTAACTACATAATTCATATTTTCAAACAGATAAACATAAGAGGAGCTCGGGCTCGGGGGAAGTCTGTGGAGTTGTTATCTCTATGAATTACAGAAAGGTGAGTCGTAGTTTTTTACATCAAGCTTTTCCTCCTAACATTCCACTGACAGGAATCTTTGCCAGATGCCTTACCAAATACCAAAAGTGCCAGTAAATTTCTATCTCTGCTAATCTTTGTGTTCTGGCGTTTGCTTCTATTTGTGGCCTCTGACGCTTACTTGTTGTTCTTGTGTGTTTCCTCTGTGGCGTCCAGATGACGCTAAGTGGGCGAGATGTTGATGTAGGAATTTCAGCGCGAACGACAGGCGCTCAGATTAATGCCATTCCCTCCAGCGAAGCAGAAGGTTCAGTATTCAGTTTAGCTTTTTTTTTTTTTTGTACATAAAGCTTAATCACAAATACCAGCATTTCCATTTTCTGATTCCTCTCATTCGTCTGCTGTGAATAATCTCTTACCTTTCTGTTTGTAGATCTGAACTGTTTGACTCTAACGCTGAACGAAACTCCATCAAAGACAAAAGGCTCGAGTGGGGTGAGTCAGGACAGAACCACCGAAGTGAAGAGCGCCAAACTAAAATAAACTGCCTTGCAAAAGCATTCATGCATGAAAACTAAAACATTGGTTTGGATTTTTCTATAAATGGTATACTTAAAAGTGTGGTGTGCATTTAGCCCTAAATAAAATACTTTGATTGTCACCTAATTATTAAAAATAGTCCGTCTGTGTCTCAGTACAAACCCAGATGTTTTGTGTATAGTAAACAAACGGCATCATGAAGACAAAGGAAGACGACAGGCCAGCTAGAGAGTTGTGAAGAAGTTTAAATAAGAGTTGGATTATAAATAATACATCCCTTTTGTGTCTGAGTTTCAGTTTTTTTTTTTTTTTTTTTTTTACAAAGAAAGATCTGGGCAGGCATATTAGTGTGTAGATGTCCAAAGCTGGTAAAGACATTTTAAATAGCAGCTGTAACAGCAGTGAAAGTGCAATAGCACAAACATTCACTCACTGGGATGAATTCAAACTTTTCACATTTGAAAAAGTTGAAACGCATTTAGCATTTTTTTTTCTTCCATTTCACAGTTGTGTTCTGCTTGGTCACATGAAAAATCACAATTAAATACACAGATGTTTGTGGTAATATCACAATATGTTCAAGGTTTTGAGGAATATGATAGTTTTATGTGCATTTGTATGTAAACATTTCGTGAAGCACCTAATGTGCTTTTTTTTTTTATTTGGGCAGGAATCAAAGATTCGAACAAGCAACATTAAGATTCGTACCTTGGAGAGGCGATCGTTTACTCTCACCCTGGACAAAGACAGTCGGAGGATTTACAAACACGTGCAGAGGTAACGATTTGAGCTGTTGCACACCTTTGAATCAAGGTCAGCCATGATTGCTGGGTTTAAATGCGTGGCATTAAATCTTGATGCAGCTTACTCTGAAGCCTTAAGAACGTTCCGCACACTGGTGCTACATTTTTGCGCAATTCAAACTGACCTACTAATTTGAACATTTTCATTGTAGCATCGAGATCTCTCCTTGTCTGGATCCTGGCTACTGCGTGCAGAAATCCATGGGGTCCAAATTCTGCACCGATGGAGCTAGAGATGCTGGACTGAGCAAATACATGAGCAAAACTCTTCCTCTGCCAGTCAACACATTTGCTGGCATTATCAACTGATGTGTCAAAGCTATCCTCACTTTGTTTAGTGAGCGGGAATGATGGTCGTCCTCCCAAACGGATTTTCAAAGAACAACAGCAAAAGAAAGAAAACGGTTACCTTTCAGACATAACGAGCTGCTCCTGGACCCAAAGTGTTTCACGTCTGCCACTTTGCTCTTACTGACATTGATTGAGAAAGACATTTTTTTTTTTCAATTCAGAAGTAACTTAAGCACCACAATATGATCAAATTCTGCAAGTGACTGCCTCATCAAGTCCACTGGTTTTACAGTGTTAAGAAGTTTTATCATGCTGCAAGATGGGATTGACCTACATCAGCATTGTGCTCTTCATGAAAAACCTGCTGTGCACACTTTAGTGATCACAGATATCCATTATATTTAACTGTGCCTAATATCAATGATCAATATTGTCCAGAGAGACCAGCAGAGAAAATTAAGTAACCAAATATACATTGATCAGCCACAATAAAACCGCTCGTATTTAGAAGTTCAGAGTGCGGCCGTCATGCATTGTGCTTGTTCTGCAGATGGGAACCTGAGTTAGGGAGCATTTTCAGCAGTCCTGTTTGGTCCACTTTTTATTCAACCTCTAGTTTGTTTGTGGAGAAAATCTGGTTTGTTTAGCAAGGAATCCATCAAACTCTAATGCAGACCCAAAAAATAATAAATAATAATCCCGACCTTCAACGTGATCGTGATGAGAAAATATTAATTTCAGTCATCAGACTCACTTGAACTCGGAATGAAGAAATGAGACATAACTTGGACTTGAGGAAAAACGATCTAACATCTGTGTTTGGCACCTTGACATTTTTCTTGGTATTCTCCTAAACAGTGTTAGCCATATTAAAACATGTCCTTCTATTTACTATGGCATCATGACGTAGAGTACCAACATTAATCAGTTTCCATTACCTGTCAGAGGTTTAGTTTTGTGGCTGATCAATGTTTGTATTTCAGTGCAAGAAAAAAAAAATCTGTTAGTAATTTGGAATTTGTAACAACAAATCTGCCGGGAACATGCTTCGTGAAGGCGGCATCACACAATGCAGAAGATTTGAAGAGCTGATCTTAACGCTTACTTTACTCCTACTTACACACTACCTTCAAACCTTCTTCCTGACCCACACAGACACACACACAAATATACAAGAATGCACTCTCAGCTGACCTGCCACCTGCTGGAACATCGATCTTACTGCTCTCATCTCATCTGATGCTCAGGATCTTTGTTACTGCTACCATTCAGACGTCTAGTCCTGTCTTATCTGTTGCATAATGTACACTCGTTTCAAGGTGAAATTGCTGACATTGGCCTTTATTTTGATTGTAGACATTTTCCAGAGCCACCTAACATAACATGGTGAGACTAGAAGCATGAGCATCGTCAGGAATTACTCAGGACAGAAGCAACTATTAATTATAGTCAAATTAATAGTTAGGAAGGTGCTGTTAGACCTCTGATTTACCCTCTTATAAGGCAATATGCACTAACTACAGGGACAGTTTTTCAGGGTTGCATACCTGATATTACACAACACAAACATGTTATAACCTGTGCATAAATACAAGTAAAACATCTTGAGGCATTGAAGTGGACCTGTTATACATTAAATGATATATTTTAGTGTTTAAATTTTATGTTGCACTAAATTAGCAGTTTTAAAGCTGATTAAAGTATATATTTAAAGCATAAAATAAGACATGTAATTACTGTGAAATATTCTATTTGCATAATCACCATTTGATATCTCTCAGCTTAGCGAGGGAGGATTATGATCTGACACAACTACTGGTTTTGTTCTTTTTTCATGGCAAATGTAAAAGTGAAGCGAAGGTTGTATTTAAAGGTTAGTTAACTGCAGCAGTAAGCTGTTTGACACTGAAACTGAAGCTAACAGCTTGTTAAAGAGGTGCTAAGACCTAAACGGACTTCTAGTCTCTTAAAAAACCCCAGTCTCAAAAATGCCAGAGCAATTTAAGTAAACTGGGTGAGTTATTTATACTGATGCTGATGATTAAATATAGGGGAAACAGTGGTAGGAAGTGCTACACCACCATCAATGAACTACTGAGAAAAGGACATGTACGCTGTTAATGATGAAGGCCTACCTGATATGAAGCAGATTCATGGCAATTAAAATTTGTTTTCATTCAATTTTATACTTCTGTACTTTGAAATGAATTGTTATTTTGGGTTTTAAATGTTACATTTTCAAGATCATCGTTTGTGCACTTCCTCCTACTTCGAATCATTGGCTTCTGAGTAGATAATGGCTCAGTACAGGATTATGATGTGGTGAAAACATTTATTGAAGTGTTTCCATTGACTGCTGTAGTATTTTTGAGATTGGAAGGTTTTTTTTAGATGGTACAAATCTGCTTTGCTCATGGTTTCTCTCAGCTTACTGGACTTGGATACCAATATTTATATATTACAGGTAGCATATTAACGTCTTTCCATTTTTAACAGCTTCACTTTAAAAAAGAAAAAAAGGATTAACCCTTTAAGTTACTGTTTAATGTATTTGTTTTTACAGGTTAAAATCAAGTGTAATTTGCACCCTGATGAGTATGATTTCTGTTGCTAAAGACCTCAGGAACTGGAAGTGGTGTGTGTATAAATGAATGAGATTCATTAACCAATTAGGTGCATGTATATGTGTATCTGCTGAACTGGCAGGGGATTAATCATGGGTTTGAAATTCATGATGTATTTTTGCACATTATTTCCTCCTCATGTTATGAATATGTGTTGTATTCAGACTTTGGGAATGTTATTGTCTAAATAAATGATTTTGTTTTCTAAAAAAAAAAAAGAAAGAAAAGCTACGTTTATGCGTTTATTTATTGGGGGGAAAGTTGGCTGCTGTAATTCTGTCCAGAGGTCGCCAGATGGCGCTGTTGGTTTGAAACACATTGACACATTAGCGTTCTCCTGCCAGAGCTGGAGGGAACCTCTGGAACATCTTGCCGCCTTTGCCTCCGTGCGTTAGTGACTAACTGCCGATGACTCACAAATACATCAACAATCCGCCTGCAAGACCCTCCCCTGTAGTTCTCTGCTGCTGCTACCGGAGAGCAGCTGCAGCACCGATGGAGAAGAAGCAAGGATCCGCTCACCAGTATGGTTCACTGGAGCACACCACATGGACCGGAGACGCCAAAAAAACAGGTCTTTTTTTTTTTTTTAACTTATCCTTCTGTCTCTATTGACTGGGCTGAATCTGACCTTTGTGTACATATAAGGTGTCACATTGAATAGCATTGTTGACTCCTAAAGCATTACTGTAGAATGCAATTTAACAAGTACTGAACAGTTGAATATTGACTTCAGTGTAATTGTATATAGCATTTATCATTTTCTAGTTTGTTTGGGAAGGTTGAGTGTTTTTTTTTTTTTACTGTTTTTGCGGAGAGACATCTTTTTTTAAATTCACAGTACAATTGACACGGTTTTTTTTTTTTTTCTAACAGCTGCAGCTCTGGAAATGTCAAGAATCCGCAGGTGTTACAGATAATCTGTAAACTGACTATAGTCCAGCCACTTGGTTTGTAAAACAATAAGTTACGCTTCTTGTGGGAGGATATAAACAGGGTTGTCTCATTTTGCTTATTGCTAAAACATTTCTTTATATAGTGCCCTGCAAATGTGTTAATTCAACTTTTGAACTTTTTTGACATTCAACAAAAAGCCATTTCACTTGGGAGGTTTTCAGACAACAACGGTGAACAAGCAGGTTTTAGAATACAAAGAAGCAAACTAAACCTTTTATGACTTACATGCAAAATGTATAGGAAGAAAAACTAACACTGCATCCCTTTGAATATACCATCGCCATGGTGATGCAAAGTGGTAGCAGCATCATCCTTCGGAAATGTTTTTTTTTTCTCTCTCTCAGTAGAGTCAGAGTTGACTGGAAGATGGATGGAGCTAAAGAGATGGCAATATCGGAAGATAACTTGTTAGAGGTTGTAAAAACCTTTAGACTGGGCCGGAGTTTCATCTTCCAACAGGACAATGATCCAAATATACAATCAGAGTTAGAATGAAATGGTTGATGACTGAGCTTGAGTTATTAAAAAAAAAAAAAAAAAAAAAAAAAAAAAAAAGACAGGGGCTGAAGACAAATAACTTGTGAAATATGTCAAATTTTATTTCCATTTATCTATCATTTTTCTTCTTGTACACAAATATGCATTAGTTTGTGTTGGTTTGTGACAAAATGCCCCCCAATTACCCTGGCATTTGTTATTTAATGAAACAAAATATAATAGACTTCAAGGGGTCTAATTACTTTAGTACAGCCCTATAAAACAATGCAGATTATATTTAACATGACTTTCCATTTGCCAGCTTTTTATTTGTTCATATATACCTCATGTTATGAGTCCTAAATGTTTTATGTTGTGCTGTTTTAAAATTCTTCCTGACAGCAAGTTGTAACTAAATCATATTCATAAACTTAAAAAACAAAGTTTTCTATTACAGTTTAACGTTGATGATCTGTAAAGTGTCTCCTGATGATGCTGTAACTCTGTCAGTGGAAGCTATCACTTCATGCTCTTTTTCATATATATATATATATATATATATATATATATATATATATATATATATATTTTTGCGTTGATTATCCTATTTTCCTCTTATTTTTCTTACTTTCCCCATCCAGTATATTTTTCATCTCAAGATCATCGATCACAGAAAGCTCAAATCAAAGTACAGCCATGTTAATGAGAGCTATAGAGTTATGAAAATGATTTAAGCTGGCCTCACTAGAGTCACTGATATTTGCAGGAGTTTGCATTAAGAACGGAGCTACGGGGTGACATTATGGAGGGAAAGCAAAAGGAAACGGTAAAGGGAGAGTGAGTGAGGATGAAGCGGCGAGTATTTCAGAAAGGTCTGGTGATGACTCATAACTGCTCAGTGACAGTATTACCTGGTCTCCAGAGCCTCTGCAGTACAGCATGCTGTCTCCAGTTGTATACGTCATTAAGTATAATGTGTGTGACACCAGGATGTCTGATGCATATGCTTATAAAGTTTTTATAATAAACTAACATCATCTCTACATTGGAAAATTATGCTTTTGAAGGAGGAAGAGATCAGATTATTTTCTCTCTCAGATGATCCATGTGTGTAAATTTCATTCATTGCCTTTTCTGCACGCAGAATCTTATTTTATTTATTGACATACTAACGATATAATTGTGTCATTTTCAATAAAATGTATTCTGAAATTCACTAAAGCTGCTTATCCAATATTGTACCTTATCGTAATTCTGTTTAGCTATATCGGTCCGAATCAAATCATAAAAAGTTCTTTTTCATGAAAACGTACAGATCCAGTTAGTTGTGAAATGATGACGAAATATTTTTTAAATAATCGGAAATGTTGGCTAGTGACTATCAGAGAAAATCCAATTTCAAGTCATCTTCTCTCCTGTACTTTGACTGGGCCACGTATTTTGTCCTTCATAGATACCCGCTGTCAGTCTGGTAAAGACCATTTGATTGTCAGCTCAATAACATTTAAGTTGTGTGTTTCTAATCTAAGACGGTGAAGGGGAATCCTTACAACAACTTGGCATTAACCAGGTTTCTCAGAGTGGCCTACAATCTGTTTGTTTGATCGCGTTTTTCATTCTCACAGCCCAACGTTTATGTGTCATGGACTGCAGCTGTAAATTACAAGAATGAAGACTCCATTCCAGCAAATATTTGCCAGTTTGCTCTAATGCTTATCATGAAGTACTGTTAATGCATTGTTCAGAGCTTCTGCTGGCAGCCTTGAGTCCCACAGATCTAATTTCACTGAGTATTGCACCCTCCTGTTCTGCCTTTTTACTACAAAGCAGTGCCTTTGCTGCACTTTAAACCCCAGTTGTACCTCGATCAAGGCTCGGTGTGACTTGAATGGAGATGACATACTAGAAGCTATGCTGAACAGTGAGGTGTGTAAATAAAAAGGTATTAAGGGCTCGAGAGAGTCAGAAAGTGAGGTGATATTGGTGTTACTTGTTGGCGTCCTTCTCTACAGCCGGCTAGCCGAAGCTGCTCGATGAATCAATTCACGCACAGGAAGACATGGTTTCCTGAAATTGCTCAGTCTGGGCTTTTGTCACGAGCCTGTAAGCATCTAGCATGAATTTCTTTATCAAAAGGTGCTGAAAAATGTATCAAATCTAAGGGGAGATAATAAAATATAAACATTAATAGATACTGGTAATGATTGCAAAGTGAATATAAATACTGTAGTAACCACTATTAAATGTGAGGCAGTTTTTATAAACCAACGTTTTTCTTTTTAAATTTGGTTTTAGTAACAAATGTGACAGGAGTAACTGTGGCATAATCTTTCTTTAAAAAAAAAAAAAAAATGTTGTTCAGAAGCCGAGGGAGGGAAAGTTTGGCTCTTTTGACTCCCGAATGGTTGTTAATCTATAGCCTCGTATTTTAGCGAATATGAATGTTTTCGGTGTTAATAAATCCTTTTGCATAGTATTTTTATGAGAAGCTTTATTCTTTCCTTTCGTTTTTATGCATTTGTTCTGTTATGAAAGCAGGCCTTGTTAGTTTTGTGTAATATTTTAATCAAACTTTTCATTTTTATTTAACAACAAAAAAAAAATGAACAGAACCTTGCTAGCAAATCTACTAGACAGAGCCATTACCAAACTCAGTAACCAAACTATTTCCTCAGTGCAGGTTGGCATTCAAATAAATAGACGGCACGGCGGATGGATGAGCTGATGCAGTTCCTCCTGTTTTTTTTTCTCTTTGTATTTGTCCTCTTTTTATAAAAGACAAGCTGCCATTCTGTCAATCAAAGCAAAGTTCTGAGCAGGAAGGAGCCAGTGAGAGTGAGAGCTGAGCAGCGAAAAGGAGAAGTGGGAACCTGATCTCACAACATGGCAGTCGACGCTCTATTCACTACAATCGTTCATAGAGTTGATCCTTGTGAGCATGATCGTTCACTAATTGCGAACAGTTTAAAGTACAGAATGCAGGGTGTTTTGATCGGCATCCATTTTGATGTTTTTTCCATCATAAATGGTTCAATCTGTGATTGGTGCAGGCTGCAGCAGAGCGTGGTTTGCCCTTTTACACTAGAAGAAAAAAAACTCCTCCTTCGTGATCAAACTTTGATTTGATCTCCACTACCCAAGGTTTGCTTCCTCCTTATAATAACCACTCATTTCGGTCAGTATGTATTAATACAGAAGAGCACTCGGTGTAAAAAAATGGGCGTCCATACAAATTATTGTAATTCACAACTTAGTATTAACTGGGAACCTTTGAAGCAGAACGCCTGTGCAGACGCAGTGTGCAGCTTTATTGCCTTGGCTTTTTGCAATTAAACAATTTCTGTGTGCGGTCGTGTGTGTGTGTGTGTGCGTGTGTGCGTGTGTGCGTGTGTGTGTGTGTGTGTGTGTGTGTGTGTGTGTGTGTGTGTGTGTGTGTGTGTGTGTGTATGTGTGTGTTTGCATGTGCAAGTGTGAGTGACGGCTCACATTTGCACAGTGCCAGTCACTGACAAACTGGGATTTGACTGTGACTCTCTGCTCTGCAGCGCGGAGCAATTTCCCAACTCCACCTGCTGCAGCTGTTTAACATGCACATTCATACTGGGTTATTGTTATGCAGTGCCAGGGCTGATTATTTTTGAAAACTGTATTACCCACCCTGTCTGTGAGCGGTACTTGAAACAATTTTAAACTCCCCCGATAAAAACAACAACTCTAATACTCCATGACACATTATGTACGTTTTTTTTCCTTTTTCCAGCAATAAGACTTTTCCCTCCTCTCTTCCAGAGGACGATGTGGTGTCCATGGCGGACTCCACCATTACTGTGGATGACATCGAGGGGGAGCTCTTCAAGATTGAGAGGATCAGGGACATCCTGGTCAGGAGGGAGTCAGAGCTCAGATACATGTAAGTGGATCCCTACGGCTAGCTATTAACATTTTTTAAAGGAAAGAAACTAAAGTGATTTTTTTGTTTCCTTTTATTCGAGCAAAACATTATTTACACATTCTATCCCATTTATTGCATCTTTTTTTAAGATAATTTCTACTCTTTCTACCTCATCTGATTTTTTTCAGTGTAATCTACCCAGTCAATAAAAAAATACTCAAAATAATTGGTTTAGTGCATAACAAAATCTTCAGTGCTGTGAAACATTGTGGTGCTTTCTCTGAGATTGATTCTGCTGAGAACAACAACAGACCTCAAAGGGAGGTCAGCATGAGGGATGAAAGGCAGAAGGAATCTTTTAATTTGCTGCTTCTGAGGAAAGTCACTCTGTAAAGCCACCAGGAATAAAAGCAGGTGTTTGTTGGTGAACTGCAGCTCTCCATCACTTTGAGCATTCACATGCAGTTTCCATGATGCCTGACGATGCTTCACGTCCGCTTCCAAATCCGCTCAGCCCGATCCTGGTGCTCCAATCTGTATAATTCCTCCTTCTGCAACTCTGGACAGGAGGAACAGGTTTAGGAATCCACTGAATTGATGGTCAAATAAATTAAATAAGGTTTTTTGCAATGTCCTTAGATTTAGCATCATGTTTAGAAAATAAAAAGTCAGAAATGCATACAGTTTTTTTAAACTCTTACATTTCCTTTCATTTCTCATTTCTTTTTATTTTTGAAATAAAAAAATACACCCACGGTATTCATTTGAGAGTGTTACTAGTGGTAACAAAACTACGAGGCCAAGCAGCAAACAGCCCGGTGTGAAGTCTCCCCCTCAAATGATTGTGTCCTCAAATTGTTACATTTGTAAATATATGTAGGGTAACTTAGGTTAATTTTCTAGAATTTATATAGCTATGTAGTTATCCTAAAATACATTTAAATGTCCTAAATTGGCCCTCATAGAAACCCTTTAAATGAAAACTTATTTTTATTGAAGCTTTTAATCACTTATTATGCATTTAATTTAGTATAAATCCAGACGAGATGTCCTTAGAGGGTGAATCAAGATGGTTCAGACCAAAGTGGATCTCTACCTTCATAAGCTGTTCAACAGTAGTTAAGATTTATTGTTAATTACACAAGTACCGATAATTATTTACACAGGAAACGTAGGTAGGAGATGGTGCTTCATCGTTTATCCTCCTGTGTGAAACACGTGCTGAGAAATTAACATAAAGCATTTCCTGCTAAAGGCAGAGTCTCATTTAAAGGTAAACTCATAAATGTATAAAATTTGGGTTACAAGGATTATAGGTGTTAAAGTTGTCACTATTTTATTAATCACTCTCTTCATTTGGACAGTTATTCTAACTTGAAGCAGCTTACCTGCTCTGTTCTCATAAAAACTGGAAATGCGATTAAATATGTGCCTCCCTGAACATATCGTGCTTGAAGCCGGTCAGCATTGCAGCCAGCGCGCTATTATTTCACTGTTACCACCGTCTTCTGCTCTTTCATTTTCACTCACACAGCCCTCTTTTCAGATTTCAGTGGCTCCACTTTTCCCTCCACTGTGCAGGCTAATGCATGGATATTTATTCATACGCTCCTGATGTAGATAGACAGCAGCAACATTCAGAGCGGAGAGGGAACGTGAGGGAAAAGTGGGGGGCAGGAAGGGATGAACTCCATGTTTCCTTGACCGCGCTGCCATTTCTCCCTAAAGATCTGGAGAATCCACAGGACGAGAGCCGAGGAGCGGACCCGGCTCGGACGACAGAGATAAATTTGTGTGATAGTGTGTGAGGGTCTCCCACCTCACCTCAGTGTCACTAATCGTCCACCGGTTCCATGAAAGACGGAGCGTAAAGAAGTGGAAACGATCCAGGTAGACGTGGTGCCACAGCCTTCAGCCTGCATTTCCGCCCAGCTCTCATTCCTTTTAGGAATTCCTCCCTGTTTCTGTGCTGAGTTTTAAATAATGTTTTTTTAAAAAAAAAATCCTCAAGAGCTTCTTTTAGAGGTTTTCTTTCAGCTCCGACAGATTTCCAGTCCAGCTTTCAACTCACGTCACCTGAATGAGTAAAGGCTGCTCTGCGTCCATCGATGAGTTAGACATGTCCAACGGTTCCAGCAGGTTCAAAGACCTGGTTCTCGGTGCCAATCATACCTATTTATTGCTGCCATTTTGACACGGCTGTCTGACATTTTCACACTGCTGTCAGTAAGACAGAGACTCCTTGATAATCTCCTCCCTACTTTGCATGAAGATTGTGAAATGCATGAGAATCTACAAAAAAAAAAAAAAAAAAGCTGGAAGGTAATTACCGACCCTGGATGAAGTGATTGCCGGCGTTGATAAGCTGCGTGCATAGAAACTTGGAAGTCACCGTGATTAAAAATGTGATGCCGTCGTGTACAGTGTGCAGCACAGATTTGAACGGTGTGTGTCTTTCTTCCATGTTATCATGTCTGAGCAGGATGGATGACATTCAGCTGTGTAAAGAGATTACTCGACTGAAGAAGGAGCTTCACAAACTGGTGTCTGTACCAGGTAGGAGACCTCCACACTATATGATGGTCAAAAAAGGAGAGAAAAAATAAGTTTAGGTGTAGTCTCTTTAATTAAATCTTCAAATGTTGATACGTTTTTGTCGAATTCATACGTAAACCTAAATGCAACAACAAATCTGTTGGTCAAACAGTCATGAAATAACACCCTCATTTGCCCCCCCGGCTCAAATTTCTCAGAGTTTTCAGCACAGTCTGTACCATCACTTCAATCTGAGGTTCTTTTCAAAGGAAATCAAAAGTTTTTCTCGAGCAGAAACTCACAGTAAGTCAAATCCACACCATTATTACCAAATTGTGTTTGTACTCTAGATAAGGACAAGTCCAACGAAGACCGACAGAAGGAGGAAGAGCTGCTGCAGCAGATTCACAAGCTGGTGGAGACCAGAGATTTCTTAGTGGATGATGTTGAGTTTGAACGCCTCAGGTGTGTGTCATGCTCTATAGGAACCAGTCTGTTGTTGTCCGATCCGATGTATTGGAAAGTGACGGATAAAATGCAATGAATAGATCAAGCTAAAGATAAGTTGCAAAGAACACACAATACATGCAACACACAGCTTCCCAAAGGGGAAGAAGCTTCAAAAACACATTTTCATTGACAGGAGCAAAAATGTAAGAAAGGGGAAGATGATGATTTTTGGAGATTTGCACACTTCACTTCATATACATGAATATGTAAGGCAACAAATCAATCAACATATTAGGAGGAGAGTGGTGGACCTCAACAGCTCCGCCTCGTTTATGGGAAGGATTTCCAAATACCTTGGCTAAGACATGCCTACATGCTTCATGACACAGGGAGAAAGACTGTCATTTTGTGGATTTGTGTGTGATGAAACTAAAAATGTAAAAGTGTTTGGGTGTAAGGCTTATTGTTACCGTTGGAGGAAAAAATCGGGGAAGCAATAGTTTGACATGACTCAAGCTGTCCACTTGCCAAACTGCCAGAAAATCATTGCATCAATACAGGAGGAGACAGATATTTCTTTAAATGTTGGTTTATTGTATATTTTAGTCTGTACGGTACCATTTTGTGAGAACTGTTGAAAATGGTCATTTCAGAATTATGCATTTAACCTTTTTGAGGGCCAACAATGTTGTTTTAAAAACATTTAACCCAGAAAAATAAATAAATAAATAACAGACATGTGACCCCAATTTTGTTTTCAGGGAAAAAGAAGAAGATAAAGAAATGGCAGAGTTTTTGAAATCCAGATTGCCAAGAAACTTGAAGAAATCAGGTATTTAAGCAGGCAAAAACGAGAAATTATGTTATTAAATTATATATGTGACATCTAAATACATCAACAGCTGGAGACACCCAGAATGTCTAACGTCTGGTGGGACTCACTCGTCTCGGTTAAAATTAGTGTTCATGATTCAACAGTGAGAAGGAGACGGGGCAAAAATGTTCTAATAGACTGAATTTATACAGCGCTTTCCTAGGTGTGTATGCTGCTCAAATTGCCTTACACTTGAGTCACATTCTCTAATAAAAAGCCTGAGTAGCAACCTATGGTTTCCTTACCCTGGGGAATATAGATATGCAGCAGGAAGTAAATTCGAATTATAACATTTTGATTTTAAGACATATTCTTCTCTCACAGAGCCACAGTTGATCAGAAGGAAACAAAAAACCAGTCTCACACTTGCAAAAAAATAAGAAAGAAAGAAAGAAAGAAAGAAAGAAAGAAAGAAAGAAAGAAAGAAAGAAAGAAAGAAAGAAAGAAAGAAAGAAAGAAAGAAAGAAGGAAAGAAAGAAAGAAAGAAAGAAAGAAAGAACCTGAATGACTTTTGGAAAAATATTCTGTGGCTTGACAAAGCAGAAGCAAAACTAACACGTCATTTCAGAAAAAGAACATCATACCTGCAGTCAAACATGGTTCCGGTAGCATAATGCCACTTGATTGAACCGTGAATTTTGCTCTCCTGAAGGAGAAAATCCCGAAGGAGAATGTCCGGGTATCAGTTCGTGGATGTAAGGTCAGGCAGACTTGGAATGTGAAGTGGAAGAGGTATCCAGACCACAGCAGCAATTTCTCTCCTGAATGAAAGAAACGGAAAATGAAAATCTTTTAGTGATGCGAAATCAAAGCAATCTTGAAAAGACGAGCAGCTCAAATTTCCTCCACAGTGTCGCAAAGGAAAAATATCTGCTTGATGTCATCTGCTCCTGCCGGGGGGTGACGAGAAACATTTATTAATAGCTTTGAAGGGGCAATTACAGTACATCCACTTTTTTTTTTTGTAACGTCTTTGCCTCTTTCACCTTCATATCCGGGGCTGATAGCAGCTCACCTCACCAAACAACACCACACGCAGGCAGTGAACAGATCGCACTCTCCAGGATCAATCATTCCAATCATGTTATTATGGTGTATTTATATCATGAGACCTGGTTACATCCGGAGTGGTGACCTGCTTTATCTGACTTGTTTTGGATTTTAGGTGCATCATCAAGAAGGGTGCCAGCTAGAGCTCAGCAGACCTCCTCCCCTTTCACCAAGACAGGCCTCACCCTCCTGAAGGAGTGCTGTGGCTTTACGTGCTCCATCATGTAGACAGCAGCCAAAGCGAAAGACTCGCACACCAAGTTCACCAATTAGGTGTGAGAAAGAGACGCGGAGAGACACTGACGGAGGCGTGCACATCTGTGGAAACTATTTTGTTGCAAAAATGATCAGAATATTCAGTTTTGCCTCTGCTTTTTGTCTGTGCTTCTCATCCCAGTGTAAGCTACTGTAAACACTTTCTTTTATACCCAGCGCTAAAGGCTCGGAGCAGCCAAGCCCGGCAGCAGCTGTTGGCGTGTGCACACTAATTGGACTCAACCATCATGACTCGGCCACAAGTTGTACATTCAAAGTTTTCGTGCATCTCCTATAATTGTCATCTCCTTTTCAAAGAGTTCCCCATTTTGCAGCGAGTAAGCCAGACAGGACGCAGCTAGAACTTTATAATTAGTGTTTGGGAGATAATGGCGATGAAACTGGCCGGGAGGTGTGTCAGCACAAAGCTGCGTGCCGTTTGGCGACAGACAAACGCGGGTTTGACTTTTGAAAAAGCGCCGGTTTATAAAAGAGGAAGCCGAGTCTTTATGCTCCACTTTTTCCTCCAACACCTAAGTCGACTCAGAAGTTCCAGCTTTTTTTAATTTGCTTTTGAATGTCTGCATATTAAGTTGAAATTAGATATCTACCAGTGCTGTATATAACTATATATATATATATATATATATATATCTACACACGCCTCCCTGTACTGAGCTGCTCTCAGGTTTGTATCATCCGTCATGGTTCAACACTCAATTGATATGCTGCATTACCTTCAGACTCAGTATAACTTTATCACCTCACACTTCAGTGCCCACACATTACACATGAAAGTGGTTTAAATAAAGCACATGTATATATTTTTTTTATTTGCTTGCCAACTGCACAGCTCTTTAGCTCATTGCCAGGAAGTTCCCGTGGGAAGTTTAAGCACAACTCATCATGGATGCCAATGTCATTCAAATTCTGGTCTTTTAAGGATTTGTTTTAACTTCTTTTTAGCTTGTGCTGATGATAGATTAAACAATTATGATGAATTTCATAGCCCAAATTGGACTTTTATTATTCTGTAGTCACACATGATCAAATGTTGTGCACATTTTGTGCTCATGCTTCTGGTTGTTTGACTTCTTTTCTAATCAGAAATGGTTGTCATCAGATAAACATGGGTTTACTTTCAGACAACAGGCCTGGATTTTAAGTAATATCCATCAATATTTGATCAGGATATTTGATAACTTTTCTTATCCCAATTGGTAGACTTCATTTTCAAAGGAAAAGGTGCCAAGAAACCAGTTTGTTTCTTGGCACAAGCCTAGATTTAAACCCATACATTTGCAGCCATTACCCAGGCTTATTGTTAACCTAGAGGTTCCTGTGTTTCATACTCAGTTGTGTATTAATTTCAGCCATCTGATCCAATGGGTCACCCCTGGGCCAGGGTGTTAAGGAAAAATTTAGAAGCCACCAAGATTTCATCCAGAGATGAACTAACACTTTCTGGAGCATCTGTGTCACCGTCCACAGGTTTTCCATCGTTACGGACTAAAAGGTTGGCGATAAAGTCGGAAGCTCAAGCTGCAACAAGCTTGACTAAAATCGCCATGTGTTCACGTGAATGACTCAGATGGGTTCTGGAGAAATGGAACATGGTTGGGCAAAATTTAAATAATTATTTATAACAAAAAGGAATTAAACCTTAAAAACCTTCAAACATAAGAATGCTGCACCAAGCTGCCAAACATGGAGGAGGTAGCGTCATGCTATGGGCCTGATTTGCTCGCAGTGATATGGGTGCATTTCTAATGGAGGAGCCATGTTAATGAAGATGAGAGAAATTCTTCAGCTTCACCATAAATCAGCGTTGAAACGTGGATACTAAGTTTTCCTACACAAAAGCCATGACTGTGCCAGGAAACCAACCAGTTTAAATAAATGCTTCGGTAACACTTTATTTGAAGGGAGGTGAGTAAGGCTGTCATGACACTGTCATAAACATGACATAACACCTGTCATGAACATGAATAAGCCTTCATGAATATTTATGGCTGTTGTCATAAAGCGTCATTCGGTAAATTATGACACTTTTAATACAAAGTTGACATTATTCAAAATGTCTTTGTTATGACAACTTGACATTAACCAAGAAATCATTACTGATATAAATTTGTTATAAAAGTATTACTGATTGCACTTTAAAAATTAGGTAACTTTGTTATTAAAGGTAAAGTTTAAACAGTAATGATTTCTTGGTTAATGTCAAGTTGTCATAACAGACATTTTGAATAATGTCAACTTTGTATTAAAAGTGTCATAATTTACCAAATGACGCTTTATGACAACAGTCATAAATATTCATGAAGGCTTATTCCTGTTTATGACAGGGGTTATGTCATGTTTATGACAGTGTCATGACAGTCTTATTCACCTCCTTCAAATAAAGTGTTACCAATGCTTCCAACTCTGGCAAAGACTATGCCAAATACTGTTTATTGTCTTCATTGAGTCAGTGATCAAGGTGTATTTTACTGAACGATCTTTAATGGTAGTGAGTGTATATATTTGATCTTGTATAAATAACAAATTATGGAAAATCTGCATTGAAAAAAGTTAAATTCAAACTCCTTTTTTTAAAATCATTGAGGTTGTTTGTTGATTTGAAAAAAAATTAAAAGCCCAAAATTGGTTGAGCGTTCATGCCCATGATGAGTATTTATTAACTTCTTATCAGAGCTGTGCATATTGTTAGATTTTTCAACCAATGACGATGTTTTTCATGTCATTACCATGTTTCTTTTTATAAATGCTACAGTGCAGCAGTACATGGGCTGCAGGGACATATGCTCTCTAACTAATTTATTGTGTTTGTTTTCCACTGCCCAGAATACAAGTTGCCATGGAAACTGTTTAATACATTCAGTAACTTTGAAGCTAAAGGAAAAAGAAAAAAAAAGTTGGACAATTCAGTGAAACGGAGGATTTCGATGAAATACAGACAGAAAAAGCACAAATCACAAAGACGCAGCTGACAATTTTGGCTTTTTTTTTTATATATTGTGGATTAACTTTAGGGTCCCTCGCATAATGTTTGGTGCAGTGCTGGAAGTCGGACATGTTATACATAAAATGTGGTGTTAGATATTGTTGTTCTGCTGAAGACATCTTAAAGATTCATAAAAAGTGTTTGCATAAATCTCAGTGTCTGTGTTCATCTACCACACAAAATCTCAAAATCCAGATTTGTTTTGACTATATAGCCTGCCAAGCACAAAAAGGTAAGCTGGGAAAACCTCTCAATTTCTAACATAGTGTCTTTAGATGAGCTAAACATCAGCACAATTCATCACGTTCAAGTAGCATACATGCATATGGACTGTTTTTATGTCAGTTGTGGTTTCATTGTTGTTGCTATTTAAATAATGACTTTTGAAAGTGTAGAAAACCGTCTTTCCTTGTGGGTTTTGGAGATATTTCATCAGTTGCATCTCTGTACTATAATTAGACAGTTCCAGAGCTGCTGCTGAGAGTACAGCTGTAGAAACTGTGATCCTAAATCCCCGACTGATGATTTTCTTTAAAAGAAATTAAAGCAAACATGGTCTCTTGTAATATCAAGAAAGAGTCTCACTAGCAGCCTGTTCAATGACACTTCACATAGAAATGTCTGTTTCTATTTGCCAGCGTAGTGCAGATATGTTGTCATATTAGCAGCATTTCCCTTCATTCATTCGTTCATTCATTTTCATGCAACCAATAAACAAACTGCAGAGCATTTCTGAGCTTTTAAAACATCACAGCAGTAAAAAAAGGAAAGGATGAAACAAAAATGTGGACAGAAATTTTTGTATAACAGGGAAATGCAGATGCAATAAGAAGAGAGGCTAAACTGACTGAAAGTAAAGTAGATGAGATGAAAAGAGAGAAAGGAGGGGAGTGGACGGAGAGATTGATAGGGGCAGTGTGTGTGTGTGTGTGTGTTTGAGGGGAGCGTCATCCTCCGTCTGACTCATCTTCGGTGGAATTACTCTGAACTCCCATAAGGACGACTCATGGTTGAAAAGGTCAAGACTGTCAGTCAGATTCCACAGTCCTGTGTACCTTCCTCACATCTTGCGGGTTTTGCACACGCCTACATTTGTTTGTTTAGGAAGCGAATGAACAGAAAATATGTGTGTGTACTTGTTTACCTGTCATATTTAGGACCATTTCTGGTATATTTACTAACCCTCTGAAGACCGACAAGTCTATTGGGGAACACAACCAGAACTCCCCAGAACTCGAGGCAGACATGGAGGAGATCAGAGCCACAGTCATCCAAAGGCCTCCCAGAACGTGTCTGTCTGCGCCTTGCAGACAGTGCGTAGCTGACTTTTACTCACATAGCATGTGCACGAAGTTACAAGGATGCAGACAAGTGTAACTAAATAAGAAGGCCCCAACAAGCACTGGCTGCCATGGATACCAAACACGTTGAATAACTACAAGCTTAATCTAAGAAGCCACGATCTGCAGTCCTTCCTTGGTTACAAGGCAGATGATTGGATTTTCAGCTTGCATCGAGTCCTTCATGTTTTCAGTATGAGAATTTATTTCTAATGGTGGCCCTGATCATATTCCCATCGCTTTCAAACAGAAGTCTGTTTGTTACAGCGGAGTAAACATTGAGTACACAGAAAAATATTGTTTGCAGGTTCTGAGCAGAGATCCATCACTTCAGCTTGTCATGCAGAACACAGCATATGACTCATCACTATAGGAACTGATCAAATAGATGCTATTAATAAAACAATGTTATCGATAGCTCCAATGCCAAGCTGAAAGCAAAACTGACACATTCACTAGGGTGAGTATTTTGCAAAGGTATTCAGGTTGCTAAAAAAAAAAAAAAACTTGGGATGGCAGCATTAAACTGTGGGGAACACCACAGTTTAAGGGATATGAAGACTTGTACAATGCCTCATTTCATGCCACATGGAAAGAAAAACTGTTGAAAATCATAAACAATGCTGTAACTTTTGAATCAATTCATCATGAAAACCTTAAACTTCCTCTTTACCTAAATGTGGCTGTTCACTGCGGTGCATTTCCAATGTTTTTTGTACAGATATAGTAAATGTGTTTTGGTGATAAAAGGTCAGCCCCTTCATGCTAACGTAGCATCTATATTCTAGAGCAGGACTGTCACACTAATTGGGTCACATCAGCATCATGAATGTTCTCCAAGGGTCGGTTGTTCCAGAATGACCTATTGACAAAACTGATAAAATATTAATAAATAACTACCTCATTTGATAAGTTCTTCTTAAAATAAAATCATATTGAACATCTTTTAACACCGATTATTTTGCAATTGTTTTTTGGGATTTTATTGCAATCAAAATCACTGATTTTGAGGTGCTAACTTAGAAATATCTGTGCTCATTTAAGACTGCAAATGCGACTTCCTGTTATTCGCCACATCAATCGCGGGTCAGAAGTGAGACATATTGCCACCTGCAGGTGGGAGTTAGCATCACTTAAACCCAATGTTTTCAACCATTTCACAAGTTTATTTGCGATAAACCGGTGGAAAAAATGTGGGAGTCTGTTGATTTTTTCAGCGAATTTCCGATTGATGTAGCTTGACAGTATGCCGTTACAAAACTGCTTTGATTTGATAAAATAATACTTGAGCACAAAACGGTGATCTTCAAGGTCCTATTTATGCGTCCCTCTGGAGTCTCACATAAAAAGCTATAATCTTGAGTTTGATCTCGATTTTTTTGACACATATGATCTAGATACCAAAAGAGAAAGGTACCTATATTGGTATATTAGGCACCTTTTTAAGGTTACAAGGTAACGGCATGGTCAAAGGCAGGTAGGAGAAAAATATCTTCATGCTGTCCATTTACTGGTTGCTCTACTCTGAAGCACCTACAGGAAACAGTCTTTGATCCCAGCAGGACGAGGACTGTGTGTCCTGACTAATTAACAGTCCACTGACATCTGAGCAGAGAGTTTGGCAGCTGCTGGGTTGCAGGCAGCTGGAGCTTGCCTGCTTCCTATTCTTTCATGTGCATTACCATGGTGATGAGTTGTACTTACATGACACATATTGTATGCAGCAGAGGCAGATAGCTCTTATCGCACTCATTTCTTTTTGTCTGACCACCTTCAGCTGATCAGTGTCAGAGTGATGCATTGTTTCCTGCTGGTTTACTGTTATGGCGGCTGTCATTTCTCTTCTAAACAGAGGAAACCTTCACCATCACTGACAGGTTAGAGGGCGTTCA